TATATTAAATGTGAATTTTATAAATTCAACTGTTAGATTGAAAGTTTTTTACTCTTAGCTCATATATACAAAATTTTATATTAATTCAAGATGATTTGATACTTCATTCTTATAAAACAAAATTGACATAATATATACATTTCAAAATATACTAAAATATGAATACTTTGATTACCTTCAAGTTGTTGTTCAATTTTAACAAAATTTGATATAAACATATAAAGTGATATGAAAACTTTCAATCTAACGGTTGAATTTAAAAAATTCACATTTAATATAAATTTATTGAGCGGTGTAATGCTTAGTAAAAGTTACATCGGTGTTATTATAACCCTTCTCATTTTAAAATATATAAATTATTATTTAAACTTTTAAATTTATAATAAATAATTTAAATTGTATCACAATATTAATTTTAAATAGAAATAAGTAGATTGTTAATTATAAAAGTAAGTATATATATAAATAAAGAATAATTAAATATAATATAATTATTTTTATTGGTAATATAATTATTATATATATTATTATACTTTTTATAACGGTCCAGATACACTGAAATGAGAGGGATCCAAAGATAGTATAAGTATGAGATTATATAGTTGAGGATGACTTAAATGAATTAATTTGTACTACCGATATTGATAACATGCATCTGCCTTTTGGTAGCTTATCTCATCATAACTCTACAGTTAAGCGTGTTTGACTTGGAGTAATATAGGGATAGGTGACCTTCTGAGAGGTTTCCAGAAACTGTGCAGTAAGGGCAAAACACGCTAAAAAGTGAAGTGTCATGTAATAGAATCCTTGAGAGGTCAAATATGAGGGTTGTTACATTAATAAATTTATTAAAATTAAACAATTTTTTTTTTACGGATTTATCCGTCGGAATCATATAAATATTTTCAAACAATTTCTGACAGATATATTTGTCAGTAATTTCTAACAGATGTATCCATCGGTAATTTCTGACGGAAATTTCTGACAGATGTATCCGTCAGAAATTTCTGACGAATGTATCCGTAAAAAATTTCTGACAAACTTTTTTTTTCGACGCCCATTTTTTTGACGGATTTGCATTCGTCGAAAATAGAGAATTTTCGACGGATTTTCCTTCTTTCCAACGGATTTTCCTTCAAAAATTTGCATTTTTCTTGTAGTATACATATCTTTCATCTATATTTTACAACAAGTCTCTAAGGTATATGAAAGGACAATTTGGAGAACTGAGACACAAAGACTACTCGCCAACTTACATTGGCCCAACTTTGTGCCCATTATCTAGAATTGAAAAGAACTTCCAAGGGTTGACCCAAGTCAAGTAGAATAAGACTAGAGATGGACATTAGAGAACACCAAGGTCATGTAAAACATTATTCCTATTGTCACGCCCCTGGTCACACAAGAAAAAAATATCAAAACATTGTTCATGGTCGACATTGATTTATGTAGCCTACAACTTATTTTCTTCGATGTATCATTTCCAAATTAATGTTAGTAATTACTTTTTTTTATTAATATTAATACATTAATATTTATTATTAATTAACTTATTTTATTTAATAAATAATTAACTATAATATTTAATAAACATTAATATTTTATAATAATTACCTTATTTTATTTAAATAATATTTTTATTCTAAAAAATTTAATCATATTAATATTACAAATTATTAACACAAACTTTAAATATTTAAATAAATATATAAACATAATATTTAATTTTATATACAAATTTAATTTTATTATAATATTAAAACATTTAAATAAATATATAAACATAATATTTTATTTGATATACAAATTTATTTTTATTATAATAATATAACATTTAATTTTAATTATATAATTAATAAATTTTATTTTT